TATATATATTTAACATGGATGGAACTCACGAGCATGGAGAAAATTAATGGCGCGGACGCACCAAACAAGGAACCAACATTAAATAATATTGCCTCTGAGAATGTGACATTTTTAATAATAATATAGGAAGATGTTACGATGCCGTTACGGAACTATTCTATCTGGATTTATAACCATTAGATTAACTATTCTCGACGGTTAGATGATAATTTAACAGTTAACAGAATAATTCCGGACCATATTATTTTCCAATAATATATAGTGCGATATGACGAGAGTTGTCAATTTCATAACAGCATTCACCTTATTTCTTATCTTCTAACTATTAGTTTTGGTGTAAGCTAAATATTTTTACACGTAGTATGCAATCATTTATAGGAACTTCTAATTTTAATAAATATATTTGGAGAAATATTTATAATAGAAGAAATAAATTTTGTCATAATTTAATCACAAAATTTTATGTTAGGCTGCATAATCATTAGGCGGTTTGGTATGATATAGTCATTAGACGAATCGATCAGTTATAATTTATAAACAAAAATATATATAACATAATATTTTATAATTTAAAGATATATATTTGTAAATTGCGTCCCTATTATATTTGTAAAACACAATGATGTGTTTTCTATAAATTAATTAATCTGGTTCGAACGCATTCTAGCCCAAAATATTCATTTTGAGTAAATCCATATTAAAAATATCTAGTAAAAATGATTGATCGATAATCTGTAGAGTATTAATCTGTATGTAATCCCGCAGATAGGTAAAGTAAAAGACCATTAATTTATGCAAAACTATCAATTATTAAATTCAATGAAACAACAATAAATCCATTGGCGGATTTACACAGGGGCCCGTAGGGGCACGGCCCCTGTTATTTTTTTTGTAATATGTATGTATATATATATATATATATATATTATGTATAAATGTATTAATTAACATAAAAATTACATATTAATTATTAAGAAAAGTTATTTCAACATAAAAAAATAAAAAGAAATGTTTAGAATTATTTAACTTTTAATGGTATGTTATTTTTTTAACTTGTGGAATTTATACGTATGCTATACTCAACTTCTTTTTTATTTCCTTTTTCTTCCTAAAATACATATAAAAACAATTAATGTACAAAAATGTATATACTATATAGAGATTGGATCAAATATGTCAGTATTCTTAAAATGAGAATGTAAGATCCAAGACTAGATATTAAATAAGAAACATAGTGTGTCAAGATTTAATATTTTTATTTTATAATTGGTTAAATAATGATTTGACCGTTGACCTATGGCGTTTACTGTCGACCGTAATTTGTGCCCCCGTTGCCATTAAAGTCTGCGTCCGCCCCTGAATAAATCATTAATCTTTATAATAAACAAGAAATTTATGTTCATTGACCGAATACAACCTTTAAATACTCGGTTAAATATCGAGTAAATTCGTCGTAAAAAAATCTAGTAAAAAAAAAAATCGATCGATAATATGTATAGTATTGTCTATATGTAATCTTTATAATAAATCATTAATCTTTAAAATAAATCATTGATCTTTATAATAAAAACAATACAAATTGCAAACTATTTAATTAGATCCTTAGCATTATGCTACCTACCCAGCACGT